ATATCTTTATTTTGTAGATTTACCTAACACATTCACTCAATGTAAACTTTTCTTTCTAGTTCCAGTATTAAACTATGTGATGATATTTTATCTAAATTGTGACAAAACTTTGTTGTGAACAATTAGGAATGAGGCGCCAAAACCGTTGACCCCCCCCCCTTCCTGCAAGCTGGAGAAAAAAGAAATATGAAACCAAATAAATCTGTCCAAGAGGTCCCCCACCCCTGTCCTTCACATTCTTAGCATCAAGCTCAAGAAAATTATACACATATTTTGTTTTGCAAACAATTAAACATATTTTCATGTTTACGCTGTTTTTTTTATAATATTAAATGTAATCAATAAATTATTTTTTTTTTAGAAATTTTCGTTACTTAATTTTGAACATTCCAAGAATCAATTCTCTTATTTGACATGCCCCATTTTTTTCCTACACAAGAAGTGTAAAAAAGTAAAATTTAATTTCAATTTTTGGTGACCATTTTCTCCAAAATTCTCCTAATGGTGAAAATTTGGTCGTGAATTACAAAAGCAAATATCATATCATTTCTGAGAAAAAGTCGAGAATTAATTCTCAGAAAAATATTCACAGATTTAAAACCAGAATACAACTTACTTTTTCTCCTTAAGGCAGTAATGGAACTATATAACTTAGAGAAAAAACCTAGAAAAAATCTAGAAGAAAAAAGAACGGAAAAAGGCAGTGAAACGTTGGGGGTTACATTCTCGTGCATTTTATGCCTAGTAAATTTGGGGAAACACTGGAGTTTATTCTCTAATTGGGGAAATTCAGGAGAATAAAAGGAGTAAAAAAGAACGAAGAAAAAAAATTATGAAAAGTGTGAGTAAAATTCTCCAAACATTTGCTCCTAGTAAATCTAGAGAAAATATTAAGAAAGAATGGAGAAAAAAAAACAAAGGAAAAAGGCAGTGGAACTTTGGGGTTTAAATTCTCGTGCATTTTACGCCTGGTAAATTTGGGGAAACACTGAAGTTTATTCTCCAATTGGGGAGACATTTGGGGAAATTCAGGAGAATAAAAGGAGTAAAAAAGAACGAAGAAAAAAAATTATGCAAAGTGTGAGTAAAATTCTCCAAACATTTGCTCCTAGTAAATCTAGAGAAAATATTAAGAAAAAATGGAGAAAAAAACGTCGAAAAAACTAGAAGAAAAAATAACAGAAAAATGCAATGGAACTTTGGGCTTAAATTCTCGTGCATTTTAAGCCTAGTAAATTTGGGGAAACACTGGAGTTTATTCTACAATAGGGGAGACATTTAGTGAAAATGAGGAGAATAATTGGAGTAAAAAAGAACGAAGAAAAATGTTCAAAAAAAAATTATGAAAAGTGTGAATAAAATTCTCTAAACATTTGCTCCTAGTAAATCTAGAGAAAATATTAAGAAAGATTGGAGGAAAAAACGTGGAAAAAAACTAGTAGAAATAAACAAAGGAAAAATGCAATGGAATTTTGGGGTTTAAATTCTAGTACATTTTACGCCTAGTAAAGTTGGGGAAACACTGGAGTTTATTCTCCAATTGGGGAAACATTTGGTAAAAATGAGGAGAGTAAATGGAGGAATTGACATAGGTATGGAACCACTTGGGGAGTTGGTTCAAAAAAATGTCAACCGGTTTTCGTGAATAGGTCGTTCAAAAGTTTGAAGAAAGTGAAAAAAATCTCCAGAAATTGTACTCGGATGCTTTAAGCCTTACATTGGACATTTTCATCAAACTGCTGAGTCTCAAAGCATACTGACTGACTGCCTACTTTGTTGAATTTTCTTTAGTTTTTCTTTATTGCAAACCAAGTTTTGGTGAGATTTTGCAAATCTGTGCATATTTGTAATAGTACGGAATTAGAGTTTTTCTAAAATGGAAAGGTTGTCATGTCTTCACAATTTCAATCAACTGTTTTTTATTGATTGATACTGAAGAAAAAGGGGTTTCCAAAATTCCAAATTCAGATTTAATATTTAGAATTTGACGGAATAAAGAGGTGTTAGGGCCGGGGGTCGAGTTGCCCCCACCCTACGGCTAAAACTACTTTTAAAGTACATAGCTCGTGTGAAACCATAATCAAAACCAAATAATGTTCGTTTATGAAATCATATCATTGAAATACTAGTGTCACAAACTTTTAGTGGGGTTTGGCACTCCATAGCAATGAAAACAATCCTATAAATCTTACTTCATGAACGAAAGACAAAGATCTTCATTAGTTCATGTCGAACTGGTTCTTACTAGACAACCCGTTTTGCTCTCCTCTTTTTGGAAGATTTACGATCTAATATCCAGCAAATGATTTCATGATTTTGTTCAGTTCATGACAATGCCCACTACTATTATCTACCTTATCCCCGTCTAAAAAAAACTCAGGGCACATTCAACATGCAAAATCTAAATGTAGTATCAACTTGAAAAAAACAAGCAAATGCATTATAAATTGGTCAGGGGGGGATTAAACCATTCTTAGGAGGGGGGGGGGGGGAAATACGTGTGCACGTATAAGCGCACAAAAAGAATGTCACCCCCTTTCAAAATTGAACTAAAAGCAGTAAATACCTATTTCTTATCTGTTAAAAAATATAGATAAACTCGTTCTCCCACTTTCTGTCTCCTCACCCCGGACTAACCAGAGTGAGCAGCATTCGGTTTCTTCTACAGGGTGTCCCACGAAACATGACAGTTGGTGAATAGTTTTCAATGTCGTCTTCCATGATACTGTATTAGTTATTTAAGACTTTTTTGCAGTTTATTTCATTAAACAAATCTTATACCCAAAAATATATTTGTTTGAAACCAATTTTACTATAATATTACTGCCATTTAGTATTTCTTATCATCATCTTTGGTATCAAACAACTTATCAAATTATGGAAGAAGACATTTTTAAATATTCACCAACTGTAATGTTTCGTGGGACACTATTTGAACTCAAACGTGCTTTGGTCTATAATTCAACAATCTTTTGATTTGAAATGCATTTGCCGACAAAAAAAGTATTAAACAATCGGCTTACAAATTATGTTTAATAGGTCAAATTGTGATCGAAAGTCACAGCTTTCTGGAATATTGACAGAACTCTAGTTCTCCTACATTCTATCCGTAAAATCTAGTTCTCTCCTACTTTCTATCCGTAAACTCCAGTTCTCTTACTTCCTATCTGAAACTCTAGGATCTCCCTCTTTCTATCTGTTAACTCTAGTTGTCCTGAGTTCCATCTGTAAACTCCTGTTTTCCTACTTTCTGACTGTAAACTCTAGTTCTCCTACTTTCTATCTGTAAACTCCGGTTCTCTTACTTTCAATTTGTTGACTCCAGTTCTCCTACTTTCCATTTGCAAAGTCTAGTTCTCCTACTTTCTATATGTAAACTCTAGTTCTCCTACTTTGTATCTGTAAAATCCAGTTCTCCTACTTTCTATCTGTATAATTCGAGTTCTCCTACTTTCTGTCTGTAAACTCCAGAATTATCATACTTTATATCTGTTAACTCCAGTTCTCCTACTTTCTATCTGTAAACTTTAGCTCTTCTACTATCTGTAAACTCCAGTTCTCACACTTGCTATCTCTAATTTTACAGGGATATTACTATTAGTTTAAATAATAAGATGAGAATTTTGGCGGGCATTTTAGGTCTTCCAGGTCGTTCATTGAATTCTTTTTTCGTTGTGTCTTTCATCCCTTGATGTTTATATTTCATAAAATAAATTTCTTTGGGACATTTTGTTTTTNTTGGTGCTTAAATGCTTCCAAAATGAATACCAGAATTAACCAGTAAGATATTAAAAAATCCATTTCTAGTAAAGTACTGGTCAGCATGCATTCTGTTCATCCTTCAGCATGTATGTAGGATGCAGCATGCTGTATGCATGCTGCATGATAAGCGGTAGAAATAGATATGTGTCAACCTTTTGATTTTGTCATTAAACAATCCATTTAAAGGGAAAACATAGAACTGTGTACAAAGTGCATTCTGTAAGGCGGGCTCAAATGCATGCTGTCAATTTTTTTTGAAAAATATCCAAAATATAGATTAATATTTTCTTGGTAAATGACATTTTTTAAAGCCAAAGTTGAGGTTTATGCAACGGGCATGCTTAGTGCAGGCTGGCCCAGATTTTAATCAATCAAATACTTGAATGGCCAAATTTAGCTTCCTATATTCTGGCTGGAATACTAAATTCATGCTCTGACCGAAAATTTTTTAAATGCTTGGATTTTTATTGAACCTTGAGTTTGATTCAAGTATGTAAATATTCAGTGTAAACCAAAACCAGCGATTTTTAGACTGAAATCTATACTAACCAATAACAATAGCAAGTTCCAGTTTATGCACCGAAACAATGAAGCCACATCAAATTAAGAACCAAGTTTTACTTAAAAATGGTTTTAACATTGTACCATTAGAAAAATAAAAAACAGTGATAGTCAGAACAAGAGCATAAAACTTATTTGCAACCGTTCATAATATTGACTATTCCAACTTAAAAAAGTCCGAGTCACCAGAATCATTTGTTTTATATAATTTCTCATGCGCATGGAACCTCTCAAATATGATATAATATTAATATTATGAGGATAAAAATGTAATAATGAAATTCTAAAACTCAATGAAATAATCTTGATGTATTCTTTAATTCGGGCACAGCACAATCGAGATTTTAAAGTTTGATGTAAAAAAGATACTTTTAACAGTTATTGTGCTTAGATTAAACAATAAAGGTACAAAGATAGATTTCACCCTTGGATTAGTTTTTAGACTCAGTTCTATCCTTAAAATGTTTGGTTATGTCAATCATGTCAATTGAAAAGAAAAAAGTTAAGTTCAAACAGACAGCAAAATTAACTTTATAGAACCAAGGTCTGAGTTTTAATTCCTTATTGTACCTCTAGTTTTATCCCTGATATTACGGTTTCTGCATATATCTCTTCTTACAAGTAAAAGTGAGGTGTGCATTACAACAAATATATATTATGTATTTTAGTATCTGTATGTGCGAGTAACTATACTATGGGACAGGGGACCTTAAATGCAAAACATCACTTTCTGACATTAAACTAGACGAAGTATACTGTATACAGACTCCATTTACTGTTTAATCTTTACGGAATGACAAGAGAGGATATGTATGTATGTTAGTTTCGGAAAAATCAAGATTATATTTAGATGGAAAGAATTTCTATTGGACATCTACAAGTTGTTGCTGGTTCTGCTTGGACTCCACATTTACAAGAATTTTTGGCACATTATGATGAGACTCGACCAGCAACAACGGAACAATTTCAAAACGTCTGGGTAATGGATACAGGTCAACAATATAATAACAGTCTCAAAATACATACATTTTACATGAATTTAGATAAGCTCATTAGTGATCGTATTCTCTAGCAACTCAAATAATCAGAAGAACAAACTAAATGGGTTGCGTCACAAAATTTAAACTTATCAAGGTACTGAAGGTTGGATCATGTCTGATAAAGCACAACCTAATTGTTAAAACAAAGATACGGCCACATGCTGCGTCTCCTCCTATACCCTGTTATAATCGGCCGAATAAAAATTACATTTAAAAAAATAATAATTAAAAATCCAAGATAAGTTTAATAACTAGATTTTCAGACAGTATTTTGAGTTTAGAGCTGGGTCGAGTGAGTGCTGAGTAGACTAAGATGAGAGGAACCAACTCTAGTGAGTATTTAGAGAGGCGGGTTTCTCTAGGACCTGGAGCAGAGATACAACCTCGGACACCAGTTTCTTTACTCCTTTCCCATACTCTTCTCCCATCCTCTCTATCTCCTACACAAAAAGATCGTTTTGCTTTTCAGGAGTGAAGAAAAAATAGTAGTGTATAGACTTTAAAACTAGAATAAATATAGCTTACTTTTATTTAGTTATTTATTTAGATAGATTACTTAAAATTACTGACATGTAATATTTTGCAAGTTTAGATTGCGAGTTATTACATGCAGAAATATTATTTACTAGCTTTGAAACCCCGTTTTGCCTAAAAACTAAACTTTCGCTATAAAAGACAACCCACTTAACTTAAATTTTCAAAAACGAGCTCAGAACATTCCTATGTTTCTACCAAGTTCCCCAAATCAAAAGTTTAGGCAAATCGGTCCAGGGGTTTCTGAATTATGACAGGAAATACAAACAAACAAACAAACAGACTACTACTTTATAAATATAAAAACCTGAATAAGTTTATTTCTCCGGATATAGAAGTGTAGTCTGACAACCTCCTCGAACCCTAGAGGAGGAGAACTCAACTGCTCGAGGATACCAAACTTTAGATTATTCTTAAACGTATCCTCGCTATACTTCATAGACTCAGTGTTCCCTTAATACAATCAATCAATCAGTCTATATGTCTATGGGTCAATAAGTCAATTTTTCATTCCAAGAGTAAAATAATATCAGATCATACGATACAAGAATAGTTAGAGGTGTCTTTCATACGGATGGGAGATTCAAATCCTTCCCATATTCTGGGGTTTTAGTCTGTATCTTAATATTTTAATAGCTTAGGAACCAAGCGTTGCCTAGAGGTTTCTACGGTTACCTGTAGTTGTACCATAATGACGCTCGAACCCTGGTTCGTTATAATATGGTTCCGGGACAAGGATTAAACTTTGGATTGAGATCAGCACCTAAAATAAAAATAAATGATTGTTGACAGGAATATCAAGAATACAGGAACCGAATTTAATGAATTTGAGCTTCGTCGCTGAACTACCTGCTGCCGGTTCAAATTTGAACCACCGATTCATAAATAAAGATTTAGCAAGAATTTAAATCAGTGCTTCAAATTTGAACCAGTTGACAGTTCATCGACTCTGCAAATTCATTAAATCAGATCACAGGTTAATATTTGAAAAAGCAGAAACCTGCAGAATTGTCGATGTTTCGTGGTTCCATTGTTCTCCCTGAGCTCCTTCCCAGGTTCCCAGAAGAGATAAACAAACCTTCCCGTCCTGATACAGGTTCGGGTTGAATCGAACCGATCCGTTCCCCGTGGTTCGAAACTGTACCTGAACATAGTGTGCTATTGAAATTTTAATTTTTCTTGTGCTTTATCATTTGTGACAAATGTGCGCGAAGCACTGCAGTCATTTTAATGCTAAATTGATCAAAAATAAGTAAACCAGAATTTATATATTACCTTAGGTGGAGAGTGTGGATATTTGCTTGGGAAATAAATATCGAATTCATAAACTCCTCCAGTGTAGGGGGTTCCTTCAGGTCTAAATGTACAGATGATTAAATCATTTTTAACTTGGAGAAAAACAAACTTAATTTCTTATATTTGGATAAATGTTTTACTCAAAGAGTTAAAATATTTTATTATATTATGCTCAACATTTTAAAAAACAATAGGAAAAAAGTGTAAGTAAAAACCAAGTTCTAGATTTTTCCAAAGAAACATCCCATAAAACCAATCAATATCATTAAAACAAAATAGTTAAGTTTGAAATGAAATTCATAAGTTCCCGTGATTCAAGTTTTCCAGGTCAGAATAGGTTGGAGTCATGCAAGGTCTACGTCACATACACTCAGATTTTACCAAATGTTCATTTAACAGTGATCACATTATTTTACCAATAAAATGTATATATTTAACTAACCCAGTAATGATGGCTTTAAGAAGAGTGCTCTTATCATCATCACTTCTCACAAAGAGAGATGATGAAAGGTTTAAAGGAAGAGAACCCTGTGAAGCCAGGCTAGATATGTCCTGGGCAACTCGACATATGACCTAATAAAAAACATATAGTTAACATGCAAGACCAAAATCAAAACTTCAATTAAACCTTGTATAAAAAAGACAAGTATCATGGATCAAAATGTTGAGAAGAAAATATTAATAAGGGTTTATTTTCTTACCGGAAACGAAGGAGCATCACTTCTTGAGTATTCTGACTGGAAAAAATGGGCGTGTTTCCCTAAATTATTGAAAAAATAATTAGAACAGAAAAGTAAAAAGCCTATTTACATAATAAAGCTCTTCGCTAATATATATATATATTTTTATGTTAGCTATAGGTGGAAAAACGGCTGGACCATATTGGCTGACATTTTTGAGTACCCCGGGGGTAAGAAAGGATAATTTTTTTCAAGTGTTTTAAGAATTCCACGGGCAACGCCTGGCACTTCAGCTAGTGATTGATTAATTATAAATAAATAACTATACCTGATTCTGGGAACTCCAAAGTAGTAAACTGGTAAGGTTTTAGAGCTTCTATATATTGAGCTTCTAAGTTATCATCGGTCTAGATTAAAAAAAAATTTAATTGCATAAAAAGCATAGAAATTAACTTGAAGAAGAATGCAGACTGGCAAACCTTTTTATGAAAATTAATACATAGAACGGTAAACCGAATCATATCTCTGGGGAACACATAAATATGTTCATGTTTTATCAATTAATCTCAAAACCTCCAATTCCACCAATAATTAAAGATCATTTTTTGGTTTTTAAACCAAGCACAACTAAATTCGCAGGGAGAAAAAAGACACCGAGCGTCTGAATTTGTTCTTACTTGATCCGGTTGGATAGGGTTAACAGATTGAGAGCTAGTGGATACTCCGTTAGTCCGTACTCCGCCCTCAGCGGTAGCCTCAGGGAGAACACAAGTATTCTTGAGTGCCTGGGTAACCTGGATATATTAACCATAATATTTACGTTCTCCATAATCTTAGAAGTTATAACCGGATAAAATGGAAAAGGATAACAGAACAGAACCAAACACTCATTCAAATTAAGAGAAAACCAGTGCTTAGGATCCGGATCCGTTGGATCCGCAAGACTTTAGCTTCCTGGATCCGGATCCGCAAAAATATGCGGATCCACGGATCCGGATCCAAGAGGTAAAATAGCAACCAAAAACTGCAAAAAAATCTTTTTTACTCCAAAACCCCAAATCTGCACTTTTGAAAAAAGAGAGATTATAAAAATTTCCTCATTTCTGAATGGTTCATCAAGTTTTAGGATAAAAATAAGCGAAAAAAATAAAACCAAAAATTTGAAATTTTTTTTGTTAAAAAATTCAGTAAATTTTAAAGAAATGACCTGGATCCATTTTTCCCAGTGCGGATCCAGGATCCGGATCCGGATCCGGATCCGCATAAAAATTGAATGGATCCTAACCACTGGAGAAAACTATGAAAAATTAATCAACATGCAAGCTCTCAATAATATCTCATTGGAATCAAATGAATCTAAAGTTTTTCTCTACTATACTGCACTTTCAGCTCAACTACAATGTCTGGCAACTCACTCCCTTTTAAGAATTTTAAAAGTTACTTGATTAGAGAGTAGAAGGAACTCTTTGGCTAGATTATCTCCTCCAGATGCTGAAGCATGATCCTCATTCTTTACAGGTTTACCCTTCTCCGCTTTGGGAACAGAACCGTTAGCACTAGCTTTACCTGGGATAAAAAGCAGTAGGATACATTATGAAATATTTGAGTTTTTGTCACAAACTCAAATTTTCTCATAACTTTATTTTTGCAACCTGATGGTATAAATCTTTGATATTTCAAACATATACCATTTGATCTAGTTGTGTTAATAGTTTAATATATCTAAGATCTACGGCATCAGGTTGCAAAGATAAAAAGCTCAGTTACTTTATATTAAAGACTTCTAACTATCATATATTTAGATTGTCTGATGGTCAAATCGACTAAAGTTGGCCGATAGGGTCAAGATATTTTGAGGACCTCACATGACTTCGAGAAAATATTCAAATTCTTTAAGACAAAATAGATATATTTTCTATTTTACTCCACTTATGACAAGATGTATTTTCTATTTTACTCCACTTCTGACTTCATGTGTAATTGATTTTCTTAAAGCACGAGTTTTTAGCATTATTTAAAATGAGATATTACCTATCCTACTAATCATGATCTTAGCTTGCTGCTCTAGGTTCTGTAGAAGAAAATGAATTGAATTCTTCTGATCAGGAAGTGGGCCTAGGAGGGAGAGAAGCGTACTCTGAGTACTCAACTCCTTTATAATCCCCACCAGCATCCTGTACACGGAAGGATGGCGTCCTATTTCCAGGAAGCTATTGGACTGCAGCTTGGACTCAATGAAGGGAATGAGAGCTGAACCTTCAAGAACAGCGTAGAGATCGGAGAGAGGATTGATAGGACCATCTTCCGCCAGCTCATCCTGCAATTCAGCAAGTTAATGATTTTACAAAATTTACCTTGAAAGGATTTTATGATTTAAAAAATCAAATTAAAGGGAGTGACCGGCAATGTATGGTAGTTGAACTGAGAATGTAGTATTGTGGAGACATTTTTTAGGATTCATTTGAGAATTATAAATCTTTTTAATGATGTGTAATTACTGAGTTTGAGAGCAAAGTCAACGTTCAAAATCATCCATTTGGGTGGTTACGTTTTGAGAATTGATTTTTTTTAATGACATTTGACATATGACATTTAACAGTTAAATAACGACGACAAAAAATGTAAAAAAATCTACAGTAAACTAATTAGATGTTTAGGAACATATTTCTCAATTGAAATTCTCTCAATGTTAGAATCAATTATTTCTTTTTCGTCATTATATTGAATTTCTTATTCTTCATGAATTTCTCCGCAGATTTCTTCAAATTCTTCAAATGTCGTCTTTTCAATAAAAATTCCAAGAAATCTACAGAAACTGTTCCTAAACAATAACACATTGTAGAATTTTTACTACATTTTTTCGTCGTTTCTATTGAATAATTTTTTTAACCGATTCTCAAAATCATCCCTCAAAAATGACCAATCTATGAGGATTTAAAGATAGAATTTACGCTCTTGCTGAACAAATAAGCACCTTAAAAAAAGTCTTATAGGTCTCATTTTATTTCTAAAAAAATTCTTAAGAACAATACATTCTCAGTTCAACTATATTGCTGGTCACTCCCTTAAAGAGAGAATTGTCTAGATTAAATTTAAAAAATTATTTAAAAAGATTTGAAGACAATCGGAAAATTGATTGTGCTCCCAAGCTATCAGTTCTACCCGCGAAAACCCGGGTTAAACCTTAGAACTAAGATTGGTTGCGATTTTTTTTTTACGACTGGGTTCCATCAACAAAATTCAGACCATTTGATCCAGCCATTTGGCCGGTTATAAGGAATATATATAGGAATGTCTTGTTTTATTATATAGATTAATCTTATACCAAATTATATACCCACTCCTATAAAAAAAACGTTTGTTTTGAATTCGTTTTGAATTCATATAATCAGTGCTTAGGATCCATTTAATTTTGATGCGGATCCGGATCCTGGATCTGCATTGAAAAAAAATGGATCCAAGTCATTTCTTTAAGATTTACTGATTTTTTTTTTAACAAAAAATAAATTTCAATTTTTTAGTTTTATTTTTTTCGCTTATTTTTATCCTAAAACTTGATGAGCCATTTAGAAATGAGGAAATTTTTATAATCTCTCTTTTTTCAAAACATCAGATTTGGGTTTTATGATTAAAAAAGTTTTTTTTTGCAGTTTTTGGTTGATATTTTACCCCTTGGATCCGCATATTTTTGCAGATCCGAATCCAGGAAGCCAAAATCTTGCGGATCCAACGGATTCAGATCCTAAGCACTGCATGTAATCAACTATAAAATGTGTTGTTAAAAGCTGAACACAGATGATAGATCAAAATTAAGTCGACCCTGTAGGAGTTGACCCCTCTTCTGTTCTACTGACCTGGGCAGCTACGTCATCAGGCGAATGTTTTCGTTTTCTCCTGCTACTGTTTGATCTAGCATGGGAGTTCACATCTACAGGAGGTAAACCTAGTTAAGGAAGAAAAGGTATTCAAATTTAGAAAAAAATACAAATAAATATAATAAACCAGATAATTTATTGCTACAGGAGCAAATATTTCTTTAATCCATTGCAGACGCTTAAAATCAATGAATATATAACGAAACATAAAATAGCAATACATTTGGTGGGAATTCACTGATATTTAATAATAATTTAAGATGCGAACCACGTAATAAATAAATGAACCGTCCCTTTAAACATGAATCTACCTTCTCCGGGATTATCTGATATGAGGTCGGGAAGGTTTCGACTCAGGAGGCTCTGCTGTACTATGTGTATTCGCTTAAGCTCTAGGAGAATCTTTTCAAGAACAAGTTCTATCTGTTTATCCTTCTCAAGCTGAGCTGCCATGAACGCTTTCACATCCCATCCCTTGTTATTGTAGGAGGAGTATCCTATACCTAGAAGAACAAGGATAAATATTTTTAGGAAAAAAGGAGCTTAAGAAAAGTTCTACAACAAATAAAAAGCATATAACAACCTTTTGCCATCTTTTTCGTCGGAGACTCATCCTTCTTTTTCTTCTCTGTTTTGGATTTTTGAAAAGTTAGTCCGAACAATTTTGAGGTCTTTTCCTTCTTCTCATCTTTCTTTGGAGGTTTAGGCCGGTCAAATCTGGACTCGACGGCTGTAGGAGGCAGCCTGACCGGAGACGGGATATCTGATACATACTTATGGTTCGCCCTCGGCACAATCTCGCTTACAAGCGCGAGACGTAGTAGATGATGTTCGATATCTATATACGCTCCGTTAGGGTATCGGATCTTGTCGTTTCTCTCCGAGTGCATATCCAACCTAGCCCAGGTGCTCAGGAAGTTTCGAATGTCCTTAACATTTATATTTTTATCCTACATGTTTTCACAAGTAGAAAAAGGCACTTCTTAGAAAAAATCAGTTACAATAAAAATCCTCAACATATAATTTTTTAAAACATGACGATTAAAAGTGTTTACTGGTTCTTACTGTATATTCTAATTACATTAACTCAAAACATGGATACACTAAGAATTCAGGGTTGACGTGTACCGGGCGTCTAACATGTGGGATTTAAGAAACGCATGATGGACAGAAAGAAAATATTTATATTTCCATGACTACTGAGACGAAGTTTTTGTTTTGCTCCGAAACACTGTGGAGCGCTGTAAATGCAGACAATACGTACAACACATGTATGATAACCGCAAAATATCTAACTAGATAGATGACTATAAAGAAATGTACAGCAATATACAGCTGTCTAATTAGTAAAATCCGTCCTGGCTACACGGTGGGCGGTCCGCGTCGACTCTGTATCCTGCCTAGTTGACCCAGGACTTGAAATTCTAAAATATTTACCGTGAGAACGGACTTCATATCCCGAGCTGGATCCCAGTAGGTTAACTTAAGAATCTCCATAGTTGTAACCCTCAGCATCATACTGCCCTGTAGACGAGGACGAATCACCTAAATCAAATCATTTCCCAAATTAAATTTTTTCGTTTAAATTTCCTCCAAAATGGTGTTCAACGAATTATTATAGAAAAAATAATCCTGCTTTTCAAACTTAATTTGTGCCCATTCATTGTCCAATCTATAATTGCAATCTTTGAGGGGAGCGTCTACAAATACTATTCAAGTTCTTTTTTTGCTAAATTGAGGAAAATAATTACCTTGACTAGAGGAGGAAAGAACGGATATAAATCCATTGAGAAGTCTAGCTGTAGCTCAATATAATCATAACCAAACTCCTCATTCACCTTCATCAGGTCCTCGTTCAACTTGGTTCCCTGGAAGTTACTCAACTTCACGTTCCACTGGAATATATTATCATCTACTGTATCCGCAACTACACCCTGAACACCTCGAGTCTGCATGATCGCCACCAGATCGTTGATCAGAATACCAGACGCAGCTGCACTTGTGAACACCTGTTTAGGTTGGCTGTTCTTCAAACTAGGATCATGGTAAACTTCCTGAAATAATTGTAATAATAGAAATTGTCATTAAAACTGTTCTTTCTGAAATGTTGTGTCCAACCAACCAACCAGAAGCATCCAAGCAACCAAACAAGCATCTAAGCAACCAAGCAAGCATCTAAGCAACCAAACAACCACCCAAATACCCACCCACGCATCCAAGCTTCCGAGTATCAAAGCATTCAAGCATTAAAGTATCCAAGTATCCAAGCATCCAAGCAACCAACCACCCACCCATTCAACCAAGCAAGCATCCAAGCATCCGAGCATCCAAGCATCCAAGCAAGCATCCATGCATCCAAGCATCTCAATCAACCAACGACCAAACCAACCAACCTGTAAAGACAATCCTGCAGAATCCTCCTGGTCTGCACACTTCCCGTTCCTACTCTCAGCTCTCAGCTCCTCCTCCTTAGCTTTCCATCTTTTCCTTCTCCTAGCAATCAGAAGCTCTGTATTGAAATCCTTGTCTAGCATATCATCCAACTGTGCATCCTCTATATCTGACTCATGCTCTAAATAGTTTTTAACTTAAAGGGAGTTTTCGCGAGAAATGAAAGGGGGTATTCGCGAACACTTTCTTTAACATGTAGCTTAATTTAAGTTTTTTTCACCAAAATGTTCTTTAAAGGACTGTCTAGTGTCTATGTAACTTAAAGTGACCCTCCATTTAAAGATTGAAATGACTAATTCATAACATGAACCTTTAAACCTTCCTCTGCGCAACAATTTCAAAACAGGAACCGTTAAACCTTCTTATGCGCAACAATTTCATAACAGGAACCTTTAAACCTTTCTCTGCGCAACAAATTCATAACAGGAACCGTTAAACCTTCCTTTGCGCAACAATTTCATAAAAGGAACCTTTAAACCTTTCTCTGCGCAACAATTTCATAACAGGAACCTTTAAACCTTTCTCTGCGGAACAATGAGGAAGATAGTCTCGTTTTTCTATTTTTGAAATTGATTAATTCTGTAAATGTCTGCTTCATAAATCCGCACATATAAATTATAGAGAAACCACAAATCAAAATACTATAAAATTTAAAGGGATCCCTTGAAAATCAGAAATATGACTAAAAAAGTGCGTCGAAAGTCCCTTTGAGAAGCAAGAAAATGGTTTATCAGAGTAGATTTTGATAGATATTTGACCTGATCCTGATGAAGCAGATCCGTCATCATCTTCCTCATCCTCACTATCCATCATATTCACACTGTTCGTTCTGTTCCTGCTGTCTCTAGTACTGTACAAAGACAAGCTCTTGTTCAGGATACAGGACAAACTGAACAAAAATATATCAATAAAATTAAAGAGTAATTGCAATTCTTTATAAAGAAAAATTGTATCCTTTACTTAATCATCTCTTTAGTTTTATCTTTAGACGCAAATCCCACAAAGACGGGAAAAGAAATGTAAAAAGAAAATGGGTTCGATGACAAAAACTGAGAAAAAGGTTAATTTAAATATTGATTGTCAAGGATTTAAAATGAAGAATACAGAAAGAATAAAGTTAATATAAACCTGAGTGTATCCGTACTGTCTAAAATATACTCGTTCAGTGCATTACACCAGAGCTGTAGTCCTGGTTCAGCTTCTATAAAGAAGTTTTCCTCCTGAAATATCATATCTTCAACAACACATCTATTAATCAATCACACAACAAGCAAAAAAGGCTGAAAAAGGTCAACACTTAAAAATGTATTGAATCCAAGTGTGAATATATAAAGTGGTGGGACTAGGGTGTGTTTAAACAAATCAAACAAAATAACGAAGATAGTGAACAAAGCTCATTGGCCAAGTTTCTGAGTAGTCCTGCATGATAAGTCGAGAGGTCCTTTACCTACCTTAGATCTACACACATTTTACAAAACAATAAATTGCACATGATCACACAAATTTTAACAAAATGTGCATTGACTAAAGATGTATTGTTTGACCTGATAGTTCGGATAGTTAAGAGGACAGTAGAGCGTGAAATGTTGATTCTTGTCAATGATGAAGATTATTGTTGCCTTCCCATCCTCCGTTCTTGAAATCTTCTTCAGGGAGATTATTTTCTCAGGACTGTCCGAGCAACTAGGCTCAGTCTAAACATTAAAACAGAATAATAAAACAGATGTAAAATAATAACAGGGCGCTCCTTCAGCAGACCAGTTCTTGGGATCCATTTATTTTTGATGCGGATCCAGATCCGCCCTGAATAAAATGGATCAGGATCCAGGTCATATACAATTCTTTAAATTTACTGAATTTTCTGATTTTTTTTTCATTTGTTCGCCCATCTTATTGCTTAAACTTGATGAACCATGAAATTTTTTAAAAGTCTATCATTTTAACCCAGATTAAGGGTTTGAGAGCAAAGTTTTCTTTAGTTTTTAACTGATATTTTGCCCCGTGGATCCTCATATTTTTGCGGATTCGGATTTTAAGCACTGTAAGCAGCCATCTTTAGTACTTATTAATGTACGCAAAACTCGTAAATTTTGTACGATATGGCGCTAATCTATAACGCTTGAACTAGATTATCAAAATTTTTAAATTGAAGAGATTAAGTACTTGTTCCGTAAATAACAGCCGACTTTTTATTCGCAGTGAGGTTTTTAATTTGATTCCAGTATCTTTACCCAAAATGAACTACTAACAAATGATTAGAGGTTGCTGAAGTTACTGACAATACAAAGGCTCCAAAAAAGCTTAATTTTAGTTTTAGCGTATTTTGACCATATATGTGGTAAAATCTGGTATAAAAGTTGTAATTGCATTTGTTCATCGCTTGTCCTGAATGAAGAACTTCAGATAAAAATAGATTGTTTTTAATTTTTACTTTACTGACTTGCCTTTGAACCCGACCTTACATTTTAACGGTAATTTCTACATATTGTTTGTGTAACGGTCTATCATGAATCTACTACCTGCCATCCTGTAAACTCGGAAAGGAGCGGATCCGAACAGTCCGAAGTATCCATATCTTCCATTTTTCTAAAACATAACAAACATCTTTCCAAGTTGAAGTATCAAAAAATAAATGTATATAACTGTTGTTTATCACAGATGATTTCACTTCCTCTGAAGTTGGTTCTAAACCGGCTGTAATTTCTTGCAACAAGTTTAACTGAACAATGTTTACATGATCTAATGTTTAGATGTAGATCAAGTTTCTTCTGGAAGCAAAGGTTCTACCACAGGTTGGAAATACAACCCTGCCATAGCTTCCTGTACAGCTCGGAGGCATCCTATACTTTCAACATATCCACCAGCTCGCTCAGTTTCATTTGCAGTTCGGATATTCTTGGTAAATCCTTCGGTTATCAGCAACTGAATAAAGTAAGCTTTAATTATCTATTATTTTAACAAATATTTTTCATTTTTTGTAACTCAAAATCTTTTCAAAAAAATGAGGGGAAAAATTTAAGAAGATGTGCCGTCCTTTTTTATTTAGTGTGACATACCTTCCCCCCCCCCCGTATGACCTCGCTATAAACTCATAATATTTTTGTAGTAATTAAGACTCTTGTGTGTAAAAAAAAACCTTCTCTAGGACAGATTTGGGAAGTTGCCGCTTGGGAAATTGCAAAGTTGGGAGCTTGCCACTTGGGAAATTGCAAAGTTGGGAGCTTGTCACTTGGGAAATTGCAAAGTTGGGAGCTTGTCACTTGGGAAATTGCAAAGTTGGGAGCTTGTCACTTGGGAAATTGCAAAGTTGGGAGCTTGTCACTTGGGAAATTGCAAAGTTGGGAGCTTGCCACTTGGGAAAATACCATTTGGAAAAGTACCTAACATCGTTAAAAACCCTTCCGTATTAAATATCCGTACCTTAGTGGAGGGTGGAGAAGGACCCATGAAATCTTGATGTAAAGGTTCATAAATAAAAGGTTTATCCTCCGGTAGGTTCAAAAGTGCTCCCGGTCGAATCGTGTCTTGACCTAAAAAATGTAAAGATCAAAAAATATTTTAATAATTTTGAGAGAAAAAATGTTTTAAGAATTTTGAAGATTACCAGTAGAAAAAACTATTTTCTTCTTCTCCTGTTTCAAGACTTCCTCCCTGTGCTGCTCAAGGATCTTCTCCGCATCCTCGTCCCCGAACATGAGATCATCAATCAGCTTCTCCTTGTTCCTGATCTTTGCAGCTTTCTCCGCCTCCTCCAAGATCTGCTGCTCCTTGCTAACCTTCGCTCTGAGACTTCGTTCCTCCAGGAGCATATCCTCTAACTCCAGGGATTCTTTGGTTGGTTTTATTCTGTTCTTTAAAATCTGTTCTTTATTCGCTTCTTTATAGGTTTGAATAGTTTTATTAGTTTCAATGATATCAATATTGTTTGAGAGGTTGTATATTACATCTTCAACCATCTCCAGATAATCATTGTAATCCTTTAAACTTCCGAAATCCTCAGCTTGTTTGTTAAAATCTCTCCACAAAGAAACAAAGTTTTAAAACTTTAAAAAACTTAGATTTTTATACATTAAAAAATTAAGTAATTAATTGTCAAGTTCAACAATATCTTTTACCCGGAAAAAGAAAAAAGTGGGACTTGCATTTTTTATGGTTTTTAAATTCTTTAAGTTATTTGCAAAACTGGTACGAGAGGAAATAATAAAAAGAACTTCCGATATGCAAATTTGTGTACACTGTACACAGGGGTAAACCTTGCATCCCCCCCCTCATGAAAAATAATTTTATTTCCACAGTGTTGATTACATAATAATATTTTACCCTGCTTCAGTGCTTATATTAGAACTACGAAGAATTAAAGATAAGAGATAACTGAGAATTAATGCGAAATCTGAAACTCTGAGAAAATTAGATTTTTTAAAAAGTTTGTCTCTGCCTGAGAATACGTCTCCGTATATCGACCTCCTTATCAATAATTGCGTCCTCGAAGAGCTGAAGACGAAAATTTGTTCTTCTCAAGGGTACATTACACTCAGGACAGGAACCAGAACCTACGACGGAGAAAACATTTTAATATTTTTTTTTCTTTGTCAACCAAACCATGATCTATAAATGATAACGTCTCGTTAGAAGAAAAATATCCAATTACAGTTAAATATAACATAATAAGAAATAATTAGACAGAGAAATGTGCACGTAGATAAAATTTGAAGTAAGATAAGGGTTTCAAGAACCTTTAATTGGGATTTAGATTCCAACTTATTCTAGGATTACTTAATAGGATAACAGGGTAACAATTCTTTTCTACAATTTCATGGTTGTTTAAACTCTCAGATTTCTTGATTATTTGAACAGGAAGAAGCATGTACAATGTACATTATTCACGAAGATGTACTGCCACTGGAAATAAGAAAAAGTATGGATGATTAATGTATCTTGTTGTATGATGTTAATGTTGTATAATGTAGGATTTATGCAATATTCAATATTCATCATAGTTGACTATTGTAAAATGTAAAATTAATGTATAATGGTGTTCATTTCTAAAATTCTTTTGTAGGGCTTATGCAAATATTTCAATCTAGAAACCTGTCCTCTTGTTTTAGTATCAATCCATTTAATAACCTCTATATTTACATGTCTCCGAGTATAAATTAATGGGATAGATCAGTTTCATATTTTTTTTTGGAAATACATTTGTAACGTTTATTCAGGTTTAATAAGTTCCTTTAGATATTCAGCTGCTACAGTTCAGGATCTGTCAACTGGTCTGTGAAGAGGCTATCTACAAGGAGCAACTTATCCTGCATCAAGATATCTTGTTCCTCAACTGTTTCTACAATAGATCCCGTCCTCGTAGATCCTCATGAACTCTTTACCTGAAGTCCTTGGTCTATATTGGTATTCGAGCTGCTCCTTATTTCGGGTGTCTCTGTCGAGAGAACCAGCTCGAGAATATAGAGCTTCTGCATGTCTTTGGAGTTACTGGCTGCTCTGTATCTTAAGTGTCCCTGTCAATAGAACCAACTCAAGAATATAAAGCTTCTGCATGTCTTTGGAGTTCCTGGCTGCTCTGTATCTTAAGTGTCCCTGTCAATAGAACCAACTCAAGAATATAAAGCTTCTGCATGTCTTTGAGGTCCTGGCTGCTCTGTATCTTGGGGTCCCTGTCAATCGAACCAACTTGAGAATATGGAGCTTCTGTATGTCTTATTAATACTTTGGCTGCTCCAAGGCCCCAGTAGCTCTGCTCATAGATCCAGTTGGAGAAGAAAGACTGGATCCTCCAGCTGATATGTCTGACCGAGAACTAGATGGAGAGTAAAGAAAGTCCTCTGATGTCCTTATTGATGCTGAGGATTCCGAGAATGTATATTTATGTTGGAGGAGGGGGAAGGGGGCTGGCGTCCTCCCTAGTCATCTGGTAGTCATGGTAAAGATATATCAGTCTGAGAGCTGTCCATGAAGTGCCCAGGCCTTAGTTGGATAAACGGAGCTGAGCTCTAACGTCTATCCTGTATAAGGTCCTGGAGTACACTGTTCCTATTCTCCATGTTCTCTACTCAGCTTAGATTCAGACAAAGGGTTGAGGGGGTTGGTATCATATTCTAACTAATACACCAAGCTTTAAATACTACACTAATGTATGATTAATGTATCATTGTACTAACCTGCTTCAAAATGTAAGATGCATATTTTATTGTACTCGATGGTCGTTAATTGTAAAATGTAAAATTTAAGTATCATTGTATTCAATTATAAAATGTAAAAATTAATTATAATTGTACCGGCCTTAATGTTGGTAATCACAATTTCAATGTACCAATTGTATAAAGAAGTATTTGAGAATTATTTCTTAATGGCTGTATTCTAATTTAACTTAGTGGTTCTATTGAGTTTCCCAATCAAGATCTGAGGCTTAACGGTCCAGAGGTTCATGAGTTTTAAACAGACATCAAAACAAACAAACAAACAAGCATAAAGACAGACAGACAAACAGAAAAACAGAAATTACTACTTTATATATATACGTATTGTTGATTTTATAATGTACAGATTATTTTAATCGTGTTCACTGGTCACCTTTAACGAAGAGAAGTTCTACACAGCTTTCACAAAGGTTGTGTCCGCACACGTTCACCATGAGCTTCATGTTCGGGTTCCTGTAGCTTGTTGTTTTGCATCGTGGACAAACAGCCTCCATTTTCTTTCTGCAAACCAGAGAATCAGGTTTAATGATCAATATGAACCAAGGAAAAATACATTTTTGAAAACCTTACATAAAGGATTTTAGGGTTTTAAATTAAAGAGATATTTAAAGTTTCTCCATTTTGTGTCGAGTTTGCCACTGATTTTCCTGCAAGTCTCTAATCCCTCAAAAACCTTTGTTTAAAACATATTAAGATATCACAAGTAGATAAAAGAGTTTTAAGTTTTGACAACTGCGTAATATGTTTTGTATGGAGGAGAGAACACTGCTTTATGATTTTAATTCTCCAGCTTCAAACTGTCCAATATTGTAGAAGCAGGCTTGTACTTCTCTACCAGCAAAAAATCTTCCATTGAGATCTACCAGAGCTAAAATATACAAATTTACTTGATTCTATTCCAATTCAAAACCAATGTAAAAAATAAAAATTTAATTTTAATGCTAAACATTTCCCCCTTGAAAATTTTATTTTATTTCCACTAATTCAGCGATCAAACAATAATATTCTTAACCGACTGGGGAGTAAATGATTTTTTAAAGAAAAGGGCGCTGAATGGATAAGCATTAAGCCATAACAACCATTATGATTCTAAATCTAATTTCAAAATACTGGCTTTTTATCACTTCTAGGGACGGTAAAGTTAAATTAGAGGTGAGGCAAGTGGAAAAACTTTACTATTTTCACATTTACTATGTTTCAATTACTATTTTAACTATATTTCAATGTTTTACAAATGTAAGAAACTTTGAAAAGATATTTCAGTTTAACCATAGATTAAAATAATACCTTTAATCGCTGATTCTATCCGTTTAAATTCAAGGAATATTCTCACTGCTTCATGTTCAGGTACATTTTCTAGCTCAACTATTTTAACCTGATAAAAAATAATTTTTTTTCTTTCTAAGATTTGTTTAAAAACTATAGAATATCATTATATCATTTTCAGAACTCTATTAATTACATTTTTCGCTTCATGTTTTCATTATTCATCTTTAAAAAAAACTTACTGAATTAATTTCTCCGTATTTCCCCTCGCATTCTTCTTTTACTTCAGGTTCTAGTTCCTCATCAACTTCTCCAGGTGCAACCATATTCTTAACAGAGACATTTTCAGATGGGATCTAACCGATAAATCTACAAAATAATTGACGGAAAAAAGTATTGTTAGTTTTGCTCACCTTACACATAACAACCTTGGTCGGGTTTTTGATTAACTCCGTAACGGAAAGTTTTGGAGCTGGGGGAGGAGGAGCTTTAAATGGTTCCGGAGCTTTAAACGGTTCAGGTGTTCTAAACTCGTCCGGAACATCTGCTCCGTATTCCGAGTCGTCTCCGGTCCCATAATCTGGAACGATACCACCCGTACTCGATCCATACTCGTCTCCGTATATATTTGAGGGAGGTGGGATAGCAGCACCCCCCGTTGTAGGTTCAGGTTCAGACAGAGATCGTTCATCCTCTTTTAACAGAACAATATCAGTTATCGTAACCTTTAATTCTAATAGCCATTGCCAGAGTTGTGTGTATGGAATGATTATGATGTATTATTAAGGAGTTACCTCTTACAATTCTCCCTCCTCGTTTAGATGTTTTCTCCACCTGTAGAGCTTTAGCTATACCCTGTCCAGATTTCCCAAGACCACCACCCTCCTACACAAAACAATTATATAAGAAAATATTTAACTAATTTTTCAGTTAAATAGATTTTTGTTCAATTTACTCCGGTTTACCTTATATCCGTATTTTGCCATTAATTTAGCTGCAAAACCCATTCCAGAGGAAGGCGCTGCCTTGGCGGAGTTAAACATGGATGGCGGAGGAGAGGCGGAGCTTTCTATCAAGGAAGGAGGTGGTGCTATGGCAGCTCCGCCACCTAGGATTATACGTACCATATAAATGAAGTTTCTATTGTATTGAAATGTACAAAGTTTAAGAATTTAACGAAATTAATTTCTTACTTCTAGCTCTGTCTCGATCTTTATCATATTCATCATCCTCAAAGCTAGGTCGTCCACCGAACCCAGCAAATCCAGCTGGAGCTTTCATCTGTTCATCGCAGTTATTAAACCTTTCTCTCGCCAGCATTTGATTTTTAGCAATATAAGGTCTCTTTCTGCCAGGTATTTCCTCAGTATCATTCTCAGAACCATTCCCAGGACCAGGATCCACTGATCTCATTTCTACAGAATAAAATTGGAACTATTGATTGCAGAAAAAATTTAATTTTTGGTTTTATTTTTGATCGACGAACTTTTATAATCTTTAATTGTTTTTGATCACACTGAAATAGTTGTTAACTGTAAAATTGAGATTTTGAATTGCTAAATCAAACTATTTTTTTAAAAACATTTTCTGACAAATCTCGAAAATAAAAGTTACGGCAACCCTACTTGATATCATTATTATTACCTTTCACGACTTTTTCATAATCATTCGGCCACAGTGGATCATATTCGCGTTCAACTTTGGGTTCTAATGGTATCAAACTGTCGCCTGAACCTTTGTAGAACGGCTAAAAAACATCATACATAAACTTCTTAGAATACGTTGGGATACATTTACAGTAATTGTTAACTGTTAAAATTGGGGTATTTTCAAAAATTGTAAATGACGACAATTTTTTAGGTTTTGTCATCATTGAAGATAAAAACAGACAGACACCCAAACAGAATATATATTGATACCGAGGTAAAATCTTAATTTATGATTTGATTTCTCTCTCACCTTTCCGCCGAAAGAAAATTTATTCTCATCGTCATTTTCTTTCTTATTTTTCTTGAAGTCGATGACTGGGGCTAGGACTGTTTTGTTTTTGATGATTTCCCTAGATTTTGGAGTTTGAATTGCTTTCTTAAGGTGCATCTGATTGTGCATTAACCGTATACCCTACAATATTTTTATTATTATATAAAATTTCTTGAATAGGTCTTTCAACCACGAAAAACGACGGAAAAGGGAAAAATGATTTATTTACTATTTAAGAACTGCAATAGTTTAGAAAATAAAAAAAAAATTTAAAAAACATCTAAGTCAACCATTCCCTTAATGACTAAATGATTTAGTTCAAATAAAAATATCTTCACATGGATCAAATTATTTTCAGAACAGTACCTTAACATTTTTTATATCAAAGTTTTTAAAAGTTTTTGGTTCATTCTGGGACCGATAAACTAATGATTTTTTTATTTCAAATTTTGACCTGAGACCATCCAGCCACCTGGCTCTCCTTCTCCTTTACGATATCGTCATCGTCGTCATACAAGGACATATTTACTCGATGTAAATTTTCTGAAATTTTAGCTGCGGCTAGGACAGTCTAGGGAGCCGAGCGCTGCGGCCACATGTCTTACATTTCAGATCCATGTACAAAATTGATAGGAGGGGGGGGCCGGGGGGGTCCAAAAATCGTATACTAGGAAATTACCAATTTGTTTGAACTTTTATAAAATCTACACAAAAACGTTAGTTTTTAGCACCATTACGTCCCTTACCGACATATAAATGATTTGATACCCAGACTTGCACCCAGGATTGCGCATATTTTATGCTAAAATCCCTTTGTGTTCCCAATTGCAAATTGAGCTAAGCCAGGTTTCTTCTATAAGTTTCTGTTGAAATCGGACCTTCAACGATATTTCACAATCTACTTGCAGACTTTTGACGTGACGTGACTATCCCAGGCAAGGGAGGGTCCATCAATCTTGTTGAACTTGTACTTTGTACTTTGAAAATATTTGGTCTATGTCTTTCTAAACGAATCAAAAATTATAATTTATGAAAGTACACTAAGGTAAATAAAAAGTGTTATAATGACTGGTCTGTCGCCTTCGGTTGATATATTAAATTTAGTCAGCAAAGGAGGCTTTGAAATCGAATTTTTCTGAATTTTCATCCAAATCTTCACAATTGTTCGAACATTATTTTCTCCGGGAACTCCAATCCCTACCGCACCGGCGCGGCGGATTATTGGTTGGTTCAGATTTCTGTTAAAATTAGCTACGGGGCATCTGACTTCCTTACAAATACGACATTTTAGACTATCTTACCAGAAGGGTGTCATATTAATTGGACTATAATGATCGATTGGACGAATTGGACTAACGTTCAATTGGACAAATTTTTCAATGTTATTTGAATTACATCTTGTAAAGTTTTTGGTATTTTAAACAAAAATTTTATGATGTAATCTTAATATTTGAGGGTTACGGTAATTTTTGGGCCTAGCACTGCGGCTAGGACGTGCTTCAGGCCGAACGCCGCGGCTACGTCATGCAAAGTGGATCGGCGTTGCTGCCATAAATTTCCAAATTTCAGTGATGCCAAGTTGTGTTAAAATTAATTTTGTAATTTTTTTCTGAAAATTGCTCATTTGAAAAAAATTATTTTTTGTTCTGTTCATGCATTTGTACTTATGTTCAAATGGACTATAAAACCGGTTTCTGAATTCAGCTTTCAAGTCGGCCTTCAGACCTATCGATATAGAATCCTTAAAAGTTGGTGGTATGATACCGACCTATGTCATCAAACCTTAAAAAAATTCACTATCTTGCTAATTGTAGGCCTTTTCTATCCCTCCCACCAGGTAACAGCTCCAAGCCGGGATAGGGTTGTAACTGCATTTGCGATTCCGACTACAATTGCAACAATTATGATCTCGGCAACTTTTAAGCACCTTTTAAAAACTACTTCAAAGTAAGAGTAAGACATACAGGGTGACCCACAAAACATGACAGTAGCAAAAAGACTAGAAGGTCGTCTTTAATATTTAAAAGAATTTGCGACATTTAATCGTTACCCTAATCTTGGAATAGTAAAATTCTATTATAGTTTATTAATCAGAAAATACCAAGTATTGGCATTTTCAAAATGTGGTCTGCACCTGTTTAGCTTTCAATATTAACGAAGATCTGAAGAATTTCGTTCAGATTTCGACAATTTTTGTTGTATTTGAATAAATTAAAATCTGAACGAAATTCTTGATACAGGGTGTCCCACGAAACATGACAGTATGCAAGACGACTTGAATGTCGTCTTGATTTTTGATATAATTTGCTGCGCTTATTTGTCAACCTAATTTTAGAAGTAAATTTCTAGAGATAATTATCACAAAATTCCCCTAGTCCTGCCATTTCCAAAAAGAGGTCTGCCTTTTTTGTGCTTACAATATTGCCCGAGATATGAAGAATTTCGTTCAGATTTCGACAATTTTGCTTTTATTTAACAAAATTGAAATCTGAACCAAACTCTTTATATCTCCGGTAATATTGAAAGCACAAAAAACGCAGACCACTTTTTGGAAATGCCAGGGCTAGGAGAATTATGTGATAATTGTTTCAAGAATCATACATTTTAAAGTAGATAGAAGACTAAATGTCACAAATAAATTCAAATATCAAAGACGACTTTCAAGTCGTCTTGCTATTGTCATGTTTCGTGGGACACCCTGTATCTCAGAATATTGACAGCACAAAAAAGGCAAACCAAATTTTATAAATGCCAGGACTAGGAGAATTTGTTGGTTGTTGTATCAAGAATTATTGATGTTAAAGTAGGTTGACGACTAACTGTCACAAATAAATTATAAATAAAAGACAACTTTCAAGTCGTCTTGCTTCTGTCATGTTTAGTGGGACACCCTGTAGGTAAAAGGAGAGTTCAACCAACTAGATTTCCAAAGGTTCACCTATTTCAAATTTTCCACTCATTGTTGTTTTATGTAACTTTAGTATTTCAGGCCTATTCAATCCTGTAACTGTGTGCAGTCAGGGGTGTCAGGGGGTATGGAGACAAGCATCCCCCCCCCCTGGAAAAGTGAAAAACTATCCACCTCCCACCCCGGTTCTGTAAAAAATTCCTGAATACCCCTGTGTGTGCTTGTGCAGTGATTGTATGGAGCGCTATTTCGGTGAAATAACATCCGATATCGTTTAAACGCACCAGTTTCACTATAATTTTATTATTTAAATTTTATAGAATATGTAGAAAAATATTTTTATTTTCAAGTTTACTCCAAAAAATATCGCCTATCCGTCTCCTGTATTAAAGCAAGTTTCTTGTTAATCTTCTTGAATTTTCTTTTGATCGAACCTATTTGATTAAGGTTCATTCCGACAAATGATTGATATTCTTCTTGATTTTTCCACGAACTTTCCATCCAGAAAAGACTCCTGATTTTTCAATATTTCATGTGTGAACTCGTAACGTGAAAGTCCCCTAAACATCAAATTTGTTAACTATTAAAATTTTTATTTGATCTCGATCGTCTACAAGACAACGTATAACCTTAGGATCTCAAAATCCAACATCTTTTTCTTCTGAATTGAGAAATTATTAATTATGATGGGCATTTCGGGCATTAAGCAATAAGCAATGGGCATGTCAGCATAAGTACTGAGTAGGGAAAGTAGGGTAATGCTATTCAATCAATTTATGATTCCGGATTTACATTTTAAGAGACGAATTTCGAAATTTTCGAAAAAATCTACACCTATTATAATTTTAACTGTCACTTTAAAGTTTAATTACCTCATTTCATCTAGATTTATCAGCTGATCCCTTATTTTTTTTTTTTTTTTAAAGGAGATCGTCTAGGTATAAAATAACGCTTGTTAGATACTTTCCCAAAGGATTTTTCCCAAGTAGCTACTTCCCAAGGGAATTTTCCCAAGAGGCAACTTCCCAAACGACAACTTCCCAAGTCTGTCCTAGCTGCAGCACTCGGCAACCCAGCCTGTTCTAGCCGTGGCGCTTGGCCCCCTAGCCCATCCTTGCCGCAGCGCTCGGCCCCCATTGTAGCCTGCGGCGCTTCAGAGGGCCTAACCTTTGGGAAGTTGCCACTTGGGAAATTGCACATTTGGAAGTTGCCATTTAAGAAACTGTCATTTGGATGTTGCCCTTGAGGAAATGCCTTTGGGAAAGTACATAACACCTACTTCATAACACAAAGAAACCGTCTCTGTATAAGAATACTACTTTGATACTTACTTCTAATATAAAGAGATCTTCTGGGTATAAGAAAACTGATTAAATACTTAATTCATAATAAAAAGAGATCTGCGAACTTAATAATATAAAGAGAATGTCTGGGAAAAAGAAAACTGCTTACTTCATAATATTAAGAGATTGCCTGGGAATAAGAAAACTGCTTACTTCATAATATTAAGAGATTTTCTGGGAATAAGAAAACTGATTACTTCATAATGTTTTCTGGGAATAAGAAAACTGATTACTTCATAATGTTAAGAGATAGTCAGGGAATAAGAAAACTGCTTACTTCATAATATTAAGAGATTTTCTGGGAATAAGAAAACTGATTACTTCATAATGCTAAGAGATTGTCTAGGAATATGAAAACTACTTACTTCATAATATAAAGAGATGGTCAGGAAATAAGAAAACTACTTACTTCATAATATTAAGAGATAGTCAGGGAATAAGAAAACTACTTATTACTTTATAATATTAAGAGATTGTCTAGGAATAAGAAAACTACTTACTTCATAATGTAAAGAGATAGTCTGAGAATAAGAAAACTGCTTACTTCATAATATTAAGAGATTGTCTGGGAATAAGAAAACTGCTTACTTCATAATGTTAAGAGATTGCCTGGGAATAAGAAAACTGCTTACTTCATAATGTTAAGAGATTGTCTGGGAATAAGAAAACTGCTTACTTCATAATATTAAGAGATTGTCTGGGAATAAGAAAACTGCTTACTTCATAATGTAAAGAGATTTTCTGGGAATAAGAAAACTACTTACTTCATAATATAAAGAGATGGTCAGGGAATAAGAAAACTACTTACTTCATCATGTAAAGAGATTGTCTGGGAATAAGAAAACTGCTTACTTCATAATATTAAGAGATTGTCTGGGAATAAGAAAACTGCTTACTTCATAATGTAAAGAGATCGTCTGGGAATAAGAACAACTACAGATATACTTGAATCCTTCTCTAGTGCAAACCTTCCAATACTAGAGGAGAGAAGGGAAACTACAGCTACACGGTCTCCACAGAACTAAATACATTTATGTGTTTGTGCAGTTAAGGATAGGGGTTTTTTTTTTTTGGGGGGGGGGAGGAGAATTTGTTGTGGGTAATATCATTGATTTTCACGAACGAAATAGTTTTTTTTAAATAATAATAATAATTAGAAAATTTATTTAAAAGCTTGATTTGTACGTCGTACTGTGCAGGAAATTTTACAAATTTACAAATTGTTTATTCTTAACATTTGTTTTTCATACCAAATTTTGTTTTTATGCATCAAACAAACAAAACAAACAAACAAACAAACCAAAAAGGAGCGTGTTAAAATGATCATTTTTTTGTTTGTTTTCCCTTTCTTTTCTCTTAGAATAAACATATTGATTAAATATTTATAAATATTTAACCAGAATATAGTTATAAAATATGGGAAGAATTATATTAAGTTAAAGAAAACCACGATTAACAACCCTCTCTGTTTAATTAACGTAATATCACACACTATCTTTTTTCTTTATCAAGACAAATTTCAAGGAATTTACCACCTAACCCTGGACTAACCAGGGCGAGATGTTTAGGCTAATTCTATTTGAATTGAATCATGTTTTAGTTTATAATTAAACAATTTTTTTACTTTTCGAGTTGTCTTTTAATACTTTTTCATATAAAGTACATGCCGATGAAAAAATTCATAAGAGAAAGGAAAAAATGAAAGCTTAATAGGTTAATTTTGATCGAAAGTCACAGCTTGCTGAGATAAAGACCAAACTGTTAAATCAGCGTGACTTTTTAATTGTGAATATTTAAAGTATTAAAACTAACCCTGATACTGTCAACGTGAGGTTTAATAAATCCATCTTCTGCCAGATCAAGTATATGGGTATACGGGAGGATTTTACTTTCTTTACCTGATCAAACAAATAATTATCAATCAATCAATCAATCTTTGTATTAATAATCAGGGGTGTATATTCTTACCAGAAGTTGAATTGTTCCCCCCGCCCCTGACAAAATTGTCCTGAATTTCCTTCCCCGGAGAGGGTAATTTTTGTTCGGCTTTTATCGCAAACTAGCAATTTTTGACACCAAATCACTTATTTTACCATATTTTAAATCATTTTGCATCATCACTTCCTTTAATTTACAGTCATTCAGTCATTTTTGCTACATTTTTTACCCACTTACTCAGGTCAGGGATGTATATTAGATCTGAGATTCATACTTCTGGCCCCTCCCCTCTATTTTTTAATCATATTTTCCCCCTACAGTAACAACCAAAACATCAGGTTTTTATAACAGGGTGACGCAGCCCGCACAAACTTCACAGATGTTTTTAGTCATGCATGTGCACGGTAACAGAATAGCTTATTAAATGGGGGAAAATCATGATATTGATATTAAGGAAAAAAATATGATATTTTTTCCCCAAAAAGGTTTTGCGTAGTTTCCTGTGCGAGGCAAAACGATCAGATAACAAATAATGTGATTTTAAAAAATTTGAAAAAATATTGTTTGACACTAAGCTGTCTGTAAGTCCAACCAGTTTATGCCTGCACGTAAAGGTTCTAAAAGATTCTTTTAATTCTCTTCCATTAGAACTTAAATACAATTGGGAAATGAGACTCAGTTTAAAGGAATATGTGAAACTTTTCTAATTTTCTCTTCCCCATAGGCAATGGGGGAAACTTTTTAATATTTTGGGGGTAAATCATGTTTTTTCTCTTCCCTTAAACAACTGGGAAAGTGATAACTGAAGGGAAATAAATATCTTTAGAATTTTCTTCCCCAGACTCATGATATTATCATGGCTTTTCTTCTTTAAAAATAGTTTTTTTCTTTTCCATCCATTTTTATCTCTTTTCTTCCCCTTTTTCTCTTTTCTTCCCCTTTTTTCTCTTTTCTTCCCCTTTTTTCTCTTTTCTTCCCCTTTTTTCTATTTTTTCCCCTTTTTTCTATTTTTTCCCCTTTTTTCTCTTTTCTTCCCCTTTTTTCTCTTTTCTTCCCCTTTTTTCTCTCTTCTTCCCCTTTTTTCTACTTCTTCCCCTTTTTCCTTTTTTTCTTCTTTTTTTTCTCTTTTATCTTGAATTTTCTTCCCTGGGCTGATTTCTTCCCCCCCCCCCCCAAGGGGCCCAGGGGGGAGGGGGGAATATACTCCCCTGTGGCCTGCATAATATCAATCAATCACCATCTATGTATATAATTCAATGACTATCAATTAACCACTAAATTAACTAACTACTTTATTTTGAGAAGCATTATGCATATTGATATGGGTACCAGTTAAAACAACTTAACAACAAGATAATCCAAGCTCTAATACGTTCACAGAAAAATCGTGACGAGGAAAGCGGTTTTTTCTCTTTAGTTTATTTTTTAACTTTTTTTATAATTAAGCGTGATTTTCAACGGCAATTATTAATTTGTGTGATAATAATTTTTATTTTGAAAATTTCCATCCCTGGGTTATCACAAACCTGAAGAAGGAAAACTGATATCTCGTATTCTTTGTATAATCGGAGAATTCCTTTTATCAAATAATTTTTTCTCGGTCTCTCTGAATCCAGAAATTGCCTAAAACATTTAAGAGTTAAAAACGTTCTTTTTCTAACCCAAAAAATCTTAATTATAGAAAAAATTTTAATATTTTTTCTACTAAACAATTTCAGACAAAACAATTTCAGACAAAACAATTTTTAAACATCAATAATCCAGAAAAAAAAGGCTGCTGAGAGCTGGTGTGAAATGTCAAAAAACTTACGTTATCCCAATGATCTTTTTCATAAAGATGTCTTTTCAAATGTGGTTCGAATTCAGCCATTAGATTCTCTTCTTCCGTAAGACTAACAAAGTTCTCGTAAATAAGGAAACTGGACTCGAACTCCTGTTTTAGTGAGTCTGGAAAAGATTTACTAAATATAAATCCCTGCTGGGTCGTATATGATTTGAAGGAAAATTTAAGAGATAATCGTAGTCCATTTACAACCCCTGTTCTGATGATCATTTTTAACTCTGCAAAATAAGTTTATCTTTTTCTACGGGATAATTTAACAATGTAAAGAAGTTCTCTGCCAGCTCGTCGGGAGATAACTGTTGAGCAATCAAAACCGAGCTCTTCCATCTCTGGGATATAGGTTTCAGGTTTATTACATTGCTCCAGGACTAGGTATGCAATCCCGTGCTCAGATAGAACTTCTCTTAAACTCTCCACAACCCGTCTACAAATAATAAGTTAAAACTACTAGTAAATTGAAAAAGTAACTTAAAATATTTCCAAAGAATTATAGCAAATAACTAAAGCCGCATTGAATGTTTTACACGCTGCAATTAACAAAAATAAGATTTTTTGATTTTTTCAAATTGTGTTTCTGAACTTACTTTCTATTTCCTTTTTCAAAAGTTACATATTTCTGTTTTTAACCCCCGTTTAAATTTTTCTGAAGACTAAAAATATATTGTCTTTATCACTTTAACGGCAGGATAGAAAAAGATAAAATTCAAGACATCAAACATTAAGAATAGAAATAATTGGAAAAATGATTTTATTTTTATATTTTTATATTTTTTATTCTACCTTGTTATCACCAATCCTAGGTTTCCTCCTGCCCAGGAAGCAGGAAGTCCGGTTCCGCTTATCTCAGTGTCCTCTGTAGCTACGTAGGGAGGATTACATACAAGCAGGTCAACCTGACCACGCAGCCGGTCAGATAAAGTAGATAAGATATCAGTTCTTACAACCTAAATAATAAAAAAAAAATATTCTGGCTTAAATAAGATCATAAAAGACAGAAAATTAAATTTTGAATCAATAAACTAATCATAAATTCAACGACCAACTGTAAAAATACAAACCTGAACCTGAACTTTATTAGCAGCAGCTGTAACTTGTGTTGCCCGGCAGGCTGCTGGGTTAAGGTCAGTACTGAGAACAATAGCTGCAGGTAAACAAGTACTGTAAAAACGAACAGTTTAGAAATAGTGTCAACGACATATAAGAGAAAATTTAGGAATAAAAAAATTTGAAGTGGGTATTTTTAAAACTAGCAATTTTTCCTCGGAGGGTGGGAGTAGATTGAGGAAGTGGGGGATGGAAGGGAGATTTGTTTTCAGAAAAGAGGGTTTATTAAAAATCATTTATGGCATAAATGAACCAATCTCAGAAAATAATAAATGTACTAATCATAATCAAATTTTTTTCTTGAAAGCCGGTGTGTTGACATGCTGCTACCTCTTCTCCCCCCCCCCNAATTCTTTAGACTCTAGAGTCCGGAAGGTAGGGTACCTGAGGGCTGAAGATATTACTCCACTGCCACAACCAACCTCAACAACTAGATCAAGGTTCAAATCAAAAACAAAACTTTCACGTTTTTCCAGATATCGATATTTGGAGAAGAGAAAAATAATTTTGTTAGGAATACCAGACTTTCTTTTTAAAAACCCATGATAATAATTCTATTAACAGTTGTAATCAAAAAGACCCGGAATTAATTTACAATTAATTATAACACCCCCCTCCCCTTTTTGGAACCAAATACAGATTTCAATAATAAATTAAAACTGACTTAATATGAAGCTTGACTCTACCTATGAGAGGGTTAAGAGTATGAATGAGAGGGAGCTCCTGCTCTAGTGCGTCAAGTAGAAGAAAACTATCCTCAGCGGGATCATAAACAGATTCAAACTCTTCATATTTAAGATGTGACGTGTCTGGAGTTTTAATTTTGAACATTGTGTCAAGTAGGAAGATGGGAGATAATTTTAATCACTCATTTCTGAAACACAAGATTAGTTAAAATTAAGCTTTGCTGATTTCCTACACAGGCTCTTCACTCTACAGTCTAGAGTCTACAGGTCATGTTTTTTGTTTAAGCGCTAAAAGTTAACTTAAGTAGGAGAAAATTTACAGTTTTTCATTATTAAAATCTATTTGTTGTTAAAAATGCAAATTTTAAATATAAGCATATTTATATACGTTGAGCATTTCGATTAATTGATTATAATTTCGATTAACATATAAAGCATATAGGCTTACACGGCATATAAAAAGCACTTCACTCAATAAAGCCTATTTATACCAAAATTTGACATTCACACATATTTTTGGAAATTTTTAAACTCAGTAAATAAAACGAAAAAAAAGAAGAGAAACGAGATATGGAAAAACTTAAAGGAATTGAGAACAATTTAAAACAATATAATATTAACTCGACTTAATTTCGAAAAGATTCGAGACTAGCAATGATAAACGTTATAGACTCGAAATCATAATTATAAAAATAATAAACTCAATTTTCATAGAAAACATCGGGGAAAATGAGAGTAATAGCCGAGTAGGAGCAAACAGGTAAGAGATGAAACAAAACGAAAAAAGCGAGGAAAAAAAAACGAAAAAAATGGAAAAGAACAAACAACGTCGGTTCAAATAATCCCGAAATGATTCAAACATTATATTCAGACCGCGCAAAAACAGAAAGCATGAAGAAAAAGACTAAAAAGCACTTCACATTTTAATCTAGCTTTTAACTTAAAATACCCGTTAAATTCGGCATTTCATCTTGATTTCGTTTTTGGTTTGACAGTAAAAAATTAAATAAATAAAATTCAAAATCGTATTTTGATATGAACTTCCCCTCTCCTTTAGATATCTAGATTTTATATATATTTTCTCCTTTTCGTCATTCGTCCTCTTCTCAATCTCAAGCCCTGCAATCTTGGATGAGGTCTTACACTCGATTATGTTGTACAGCCCCTTAAAAATGCAGGCCCATGAAATACGAAATGAAGGCCCTGCCCATCCTAAGTATTTCATAGTCACCCAGATCCCTATATCCAGTCATGTTCTCCATGATGTTTTTGGGACCGTACACATTAGGATCTGAATGGCGGGGTTAACGTGAAAAGTATGAGCATTAAAGGAGCCGGTTGGGATAGTGAGAGTGCTGTCAGACCTGTTTGTTGCTCGGATAAACCCTGTGAACTGACTTAAGGTTTTAACCCTATTCTTTTTAATCTTCCGTTCTTCATTAGGTAATACTGTGATCTTCAGCGGATATGGGTGGGTCTAGATCCCAAAGGTACAAGGATCGCCAGCTTCTAGAGAAATCTTCATAGGAATAACATCATTTTTGAAGTTCTGGAGGTCTCTTTTGATTTAAGCAAAAGATATGTTGAACTATACTCCGCCATGAAGGCGTACTGTAACATCTTGATTACTCAGCTCAGCCCCCTAGTCTGTCCTAGCAGCAGCGCTCGGCCCCCTAGCCTGTCCTCGCTGCAACGCTCGGCCCAAACCTAACCTGACCTATAGTAATAAAAAAAAATTATACTTTAGCTGAAAAATAAGTGGTCTTGAACAAAATTGATAGGAGAAGGGGGGGGGNTATATGTCTAGAGTAAGTTGTGTAGTATATATCTAGAGTAAGTTGTGTAGTATATATCTTGAGTAAGTTGTGTAGTATATATCTAGAGTAAGTTGTGTAGTATATATCTAGAGTAAGTTGTGTACTATATATCTAGAGTAGGTTGTGTAGTATATTTATTTAGAAAATTTAGAAAAAATCGTTCTCTAGGAATATACCGAAATATACTTTCAGTCTACACTTACAGAATTCCCCTGGGAAGGTTAATTTAGTTTTATATTAATTTTTTGTGTTTTTATTCAGATCGAGATTTTTAAGTCTAGCGCAAGTGCCGCGAAGCAAAATACAATTTACTAATAGGAAAAGTATGACGAAGATATTATCAATTAATCATCAACTTCTTTCAAGGAAAAAGGTTTATTAACATGAAGATTTAAGAAACTGGGAAACAGAAAGAAACAGGGCTTTGGGTGGATAATATAGAGGTTTGAGGAGGTGGAGCTGGGGGGGGGATGCAGTCCATTCTCCCCCTGATTTCTCAAATTTGTTATTTTTCATCAGTCTCATCCGCCCTTTCCTCACTATACAAATTGAAAATTAAACATATCATTTGGGTAATGTTACATCGTCTATACGCAACATCCCCCCCACTGAACTTCTGACCTAGTAACTTTCCGACCTACGCCAGCTGCTTATTTTCGTATTATTTGAGGGTTAAGTTAGGTTAAGACAATTTCTGGGCCGAGCGCCGCGGCTAGGTGCAGGCTAGGGGGCCGGGCGCTGCGGCCACAAGTCCATTTAGCAGCTGTAAAACCACTTGCTTGTAGGTCGGATGTGTATTATAGCGGAATTGTCGTAGGTCAGAAGTGAAGTATAGTGGATTTGCGTAGGTCGAAAAATTTGATATTTCGTTAATTGCTAAATTTTATTTTTCTTTGCACATGAAGAGGAAGGAGTGAGAGGTTAAGGGGAGGGGCAGTAAAAAAGGAAGGGGCCACAATCTGCACATATAGAAGGCTCAAAATTTTGAATTGAATTTTGCGATTTTTTTCCTGCAAACCTGAACTCCCTGAACAAAGACAGTAAAAAAGGGGTATCAAAGCCATTTTTCAATTTTCGGTTTTAAAGTACCCTTATTAAAGACTTTTTATAAAAGGTCGGATAAATTTTCACATTTTGCTCCAAAACCCTGGGAGTAACTAACTCATCCTATTCCTGGGAGTACACCATAAACCCTGGGAGCAATTCCAAAACCCTGAGAGCAGCCACGTACCCCTCCCTCACTTGCAAGACTTCAGTTGTACAGGGTGTTCCACATCATATTAGACCGAGAACGGGTCTAAATTACGATTTTCGGGACTAATTAGAAAATTTCATTAGAATGAATCATTTTGAAAAATAACATAAGGCTTATATATCATATCAGATAAGAATTTAGCATAAGACATCATAGCGGCCAACATATCGTCCCCCAAAGTACGTGAACTACACGACCTCTTTATATGGAGAAAACGGGTTCAGAGGACTCAGAGGGACATAAAGACGAATACAATATAATAAAGAGTAACTTATTCTTATTATATTATATTCACATTTTACTGAATCACCCCCACCCCTCTTAATCCGTTGCGTAAAAGTGCGTAAATTTGTTCTTTTTATAATTTTTTTTAATCTCCCTGGGCCTAAGTCCTTTGTGCAGACCTATTAGATGGGGTTTTTTTTACTATATGAGCATGTGACATATTCATTGTTTTACATACATGTTATATTCGTTATTCAAATAAAAAGTTAGCGGGCTATTCAGAAAATAGATATAATCCCCAACTTACTTACTCTTATGACCGTCTCAAAACCTGCATCGCGCATCCCAAAAAAAAGCACAAAAAAATAACCTCCTCGTCTAAAAGATAAGAAGCTCAAAAGCATGGCGAAAAAACGCCCCCCCCCCCGCCTTTTTAGGGTTAAGCGAGCTTAAATATACAATATTGTGTAGTTTGTGCATCAGAGACTGAATCAAGTTTTGAAATATATAAAGTTTTCTTCAATCAAATATCAAATTTAAAAAATATTCCAATAAACCAATACTTCTCAAGTATATTCAAACCTAAAGTTTTACAATCCGTATACAGGGTGTCACAATAAACTTGAGAATTAAAAGACGACTTTGAAATGGCGTTTGATTTACAAATGTAGATGATTAACATACAGTATATTGAATGAAGTTTGTGCGTTTTATGAGATTCTCAAAATGTGGTCTGCTCTCTTTTAATTTCTAAAATTGAGTGCGTTAAAGAAATATCTAAACTATTTTTTCATTTGATAAATTGGAATTTTGACAACTTTCTTTTAATCTCTTTCAATTTTGAAAATATAAAAATTGACACACTACATTTTGATAGTTTCGAGACTAACAGTATTCGCTGCTGAACGACTTAACTGATTTTGGTGTTTTGCGCAGCGCAATGAATATAATTTTGTAAACAATATAAGCAATAATTAATAAATAATTAAATAATTGTATCTGAAGTCTTATTCTTTGTTGGTAAATGGTAACCCTGAATAACGAAGGAGAAAAATCTATTTATAATTATAAATGTATATTTGGCTAGTCTCATTATTTTTTGTGGTAATTCACATGACCCCAGTTTGATAGCTGGTCAGAAATGTGCAACCAAAACAGGAAAATCTGATATATGGTTTTGTTTCCAGGATAGACTGACCTGCATATATTAATTTTTTTTATTGTTGTACGAATTTTTAATTGAAAAATACGCACATATTGTTAAGTTTTCCAGTTTTGTGAAGTTAACCTTTCGAATATGTGCTCAAAAAAGTTAATGGTGTCTCCACCACGTACTTTGGAAAACGTACTTTTGAGGACGCATAAAATACTGACATACGTCACCACTTTCCATCAGGATGTTTGCCTTAAATTAAAAGTGCTAATTCCTCTATCTATATCTGATGTATACCTTTGATATTTCAAACTTACATTATTTTATCTATCAGAATTCATAGTTTGAAATATCCCAGGCCTACGAGATTGGGTTGCAAAGATATAGGAATTGGAAAATCAGAGTTTGTCAGAAAGAATCAGTTCCTTAAAACCCGTACGGGTAATATTTAGAGTTCTATCCATAATATATATCCAAGTTTAAACAATCATTTCAAGATATTTACAAGTTTCTATATCAAATATTGCGAAGATATTCTTTGTTTGTTTATATTAGGGTAAAATAAGAATAGCCTGTGAAGTATAATCTAGTGTAAGTTGTGAAGTATAATCTAGTGAAAGTTGTGTAGTATATATCTAGAGTAAGTTGTGTAGTATATATCTAGTGTAAGTTGTGTAGTATATATATAGAGTAAGTTGTGTAGTATATATCTAGTGTAAGTTGTGTAGTATATATCTA